TAGCTCATTCAATACCCCAAAAAAGAGACAGAGGAAGAGAGAGAGCTTTCCTTTGTTAAAGCCAAGGGGTGAACTGTCTGAATCCATTAAGGATGAAAGGAAGATAGTTAGCAGAAAAAAGAAATCTCAAAGGTATTTCTAAAAAACACTGAGGAGTCATTAAGGCACTGGAGAAATGCAAGGTTATTTCTTTGGCAGGCCATCTAAGTATTTTTAGTAATTTCTTTAAGTGGCTGCCCTGAACAGGGCATAGCTTTCTCTATTCTTCAGACCACTGCACTACAAGGGAGATACTGTATTGTGGGGCTGAAGTGAAACCTCACCTTGTGACCAAGACTGAAGTCTCAGCAGCATCTGGCCTTTAGCAGAAGGTGAGATCACATCCACACCTATGCCTTGTCTGTTCCACACCTTCCTCACACCTGGCATCTCATAAAGCCAACGTGATGCTTTGGATGCAGCTGAAAAGAGAGCAGCAGTTCTGCAGACTTCCTCTTTTCTTGCTGACTCAGCCAACTGGGTGCTCAGCTAATTTCCGCAGTGCTACAGAAGCTTGCTCACAGTGGAGGTGAGGAAATATTTTTAATTGATTAGAGCCTCCCAGAAAGCCAAAGCTAATTTGTTAGTTCTCAGATGAGCTGTTCTAAAAATCGTATTAGAGATAAATTGGAGGTAGACTGGGATGGCTCTCCATCACCCCTATTCAGGCTGCATCAGTCACACACAGTTAAACTTTTTTTTGGGAAAAACAACTCCCTCCTCTGCAAGAGTTTGCTGCAGTTGTGAGTAAAGCCAAATGCCATTGATTTAAACGGAAAGCAGAGCTGAAAGGGTCAGTGACCTCTGGCTCAGGAAAGTCTGGAGTCCAGTTTCAATGCATGAGACAAAGTTGAAAGACTGAAACAGTCTCATGTCAAAGGGGAAAAAAAATTGTTATCATGACAGCAAATTATACTCTGATTTACCACATGGTATATTCTATTTTAGTGAAGCAAAACCTAATTTGATGTTATGCTCATGGCTTAACTTTAGAGAGATAGTGACATATGGACCTGTAGGGGCAAGACTGGTGCAGACTGGAAGGGAAACCTGATGACAGTGATACATGGCTATACAAAACTAGGAACATGACCTGGACCACACAGTGTAATTAGGGAATGTAAAGAATAAAGACAAAACCTTAAAATATTAAGAGGAAGTGATATTGAATGCTACAAAGGTAAAACAAAGAAGAAATATATAACAGCTAAAGTTTTGGATAGATATTTTGTTTAAACAAAACCTGAATGAATGAGTGATTCAGTTTCTTTTGCATGCTAAAGACAAGGTGAGAAAAAAGGCTATCTAGAAGTACAAATGAAAATAATTTTGTGCATTTTTTAATCCATCCCCCAAAATATAGTTCAAACATCTTTTATTCATGTGCAAATGTTCTCTCATGCGTTTAATTTTATTTTAGTTAATGTTTTCCTCAACATGCCAAATGATCAGAACAGGCATTAACAGTGTTTATAGCAGGAATCTGGATCCTTCAGAAAATACTGAGAACTTTGTATAATACAAACCAAACAATGGTAACATCACAGATGTATTTTAATTATAATAAAAATAAAAGACCTTTATCTAGAAACTACTTTCAATATATTTTTCTTATTAAAAAAATATTTTACTCTTCCCAATATCCATGTGCAACATGCATAATAATAGAGTTCACAACGTCTGAGAACAGATAAGGAGAAAGGGATTGTGGAGATCTTTCTGCAGATTTTAATACACTTTGGATTAGGCCCTTTAACAGTAACTATGTTAATGTGACATGGGGCATTTGCCTTTGGAACCTCAGGCTGGGTCAAGTAATTGCATCTGGGAAATAGAGTTTCTGTTTCTTCCCAGGTCTTCTGTGGTCACATTTTTGGAAGATCAATTTTGACAGTACTCATTTAAATGTTTCCTAACTTGATAGTAAAAGAGGGATGAAAATGGCCCACAGAAATCTCAGGAGTAATGTATGAATTCAATCAGAGTGAGAAATGTGAATTAGACCCTTTCGGCTATGTACTTAAAGGGAGGTAATCTTGACAAGACTCAGGAATACATTTTATGTCTTTCTCACTACATTCCACAGTCTTGTACTTTATCTCTAGATTTTTTTACGATGATAGAGCCATAAGGAGTGGCACTATGCTTAGAAAAAATATCTAGGATGATCTATTCCCATAACCCTAGGACTCCTGATTTTGAGAAGAGCAGCAAACAGCACAAATCTTATGGTGAAGGAGAACATCTGTCAACACCCAGTGACACAGATTGCACTGTACTGTGAGGCCATATGTCATGTCCATGTACTGACTACCTTCCTTTTGCTAGAAATAAGGGTGTGGAGAACATATTTAACTGTGATTTTCCAATCATACGGACTGGCGGCAGCTACCTCATGACAAGCAGTCACCTTCCCACGCTGCTTTACTCAAGGGATTTCCCAAACTATTTCACCTATGCATCAGTTTCATAGGGTCTGGAAAACAGGTGTAATGAAATAGCAAAAGTTTGAGAGAGCCTACAGCAGGACTGAAAATAAGGGTCATTTACAAGAGAGGCTGAAGTGAATGCATAATCCATAAGTACAAAGTGTGTTAATGACATTAGTTACATCTGATATTAGTCCCCTGTGCACATGTACTCATTACTTTCTTAGAGATAACAATTTCCCTCACCATAAATACCAGCCTTTTAGTAATACAATATGGCATCATCAACTCTTTCATCCTTTATTGAGAAGTACATGTTCATATGATTTATATGCACACTTCTCCTATAATGACAATTGGCTTCAAGATAATGGCAGTCGAAAAAATCTGCTACAAAGGATTTTTAGGAGCAGGACAAGAACCACCTCTTTGCCTGGTATTTCATTAATAACCAATGACCAGTTGCATTACTCACGTCTCAAAATAACAGTTGCCAAACAACTGAGCGTGGATTAGAAAAGTCTTTACATCATGGTGAGACAGCAAACTGGACTTTCACCTTGTATTTTAAAAGCATGCCTATTGCATATATTGCCTCAAGACTCAATAGATTTCACAGAGAAAACGACAAAAGATATCGCTCCAACTTGTATTTCAGATCTAGTTCTTTACATATTAGGTTTGGATCTCTGAAAGAACTTCCAGCTCTATTTTCTAGTCAATAAATGCATTTAGTGTATATGCCAATATCCCCTAAATAATATAATTTTAATTTGCTGGAGGACTGAATGTAATCCTTCCATTACAGCTACCACAAACAGACTAAGCCCAGCAAAGATCCAATCAAAAGGGGCCTGTTAAGACAGATCTTGTATAGCAAAAATGAACTGGACTGGCTTGAGCTGGTAGGGAGGCAGGAAGAACAGGACATCGGTACCCAAAGATTTAACCAACTAAAGAAGAAGTTTTAAAGTTTCAAATTCTTTCTTCACTGTGTAATCACAGTTACCTAAACCAGAAAATGTGCAGTCAGCAAGGTGTACAACTCCTGCAAGTCTTGTCAGTGACCTCCAAGCTTCCCTAAACTGGAACACTAAAAGAGGGAAGCAAAGTTAGACCATCTCTCACACTAATCTACTGACTCACCTTTAGGTCACTGGCCGGGAAAGTCCAATATAGAGAATGACAAGCACTTTGAATTCATACTTCTCATTGTTTTAAAAAAAACTTTTCCTGATAATATCAGTGTTAACTACTATAAATGTTACTACTGCGGCATTAAAATTCTGTCTGTAAACACTTCTCTTTCAAGAGTATACTCATGGTAATCAAATAGGAATCAGCTACTCTCCCTCTTAATGCAATACCCTTCTATTATAAACTGACATGCTGTACCAACCCTTTGACAGATGTGTCAAAAAGAATGTTTTTGCTCCCATAGTTCCTTCCAGAGACCTGTTCTGGACCATCACACTCCACACTGGCAAGATAACAATTCACTGCTTTTCACTTTGTTTCATAAAAGACAGGCCCATCAGTTTATTTGATTCTATTAACAGCCCCGTGGGGTAAATTTCCCCAGTTTCTGTTGCTGTTAGTGGATATGTGTGTTAAGAAATACACTCGGTCCTACAGATTAAGTCTTACAAGTGTCTTGTATATGACACTGGTAATCCCTTATCTCTACAGGCAATGCCAAAGGATCTCAGGAGTGTATTTGCCTTTTTTATAGGTGGGTTGTTTGTAATAATCCCATGCTCACCCTTTAAAGCCCCATTTTAACGTTCTCCCTCAGCAATTACTACTTTTGGTTATCAATGACTCTTTGCACTACCTCATGTCATCCCATTTCGGTTTTTCCAGTCTTCACAATCAATGGATTTTTCCTGTTTGACATTCCCAGTCTGCTCAGTCATAGTAATGATTGGCCATCTTCGTATTATTAGTACAGTTCCATGTTTGTGGTTACTGTCATTATTGACAGCATTAGAAAATGAATCTGTAAGGAATTCTATAAATCTCTCATCTATCATGCCAGTTTTGGGCCTTTCCTGCCATACTTCCACATTCTTCCAGAAAATTTATGTAAAGCAATTGCTTATAACTTCATGAGCAATAATATATCTAGAATCTGAAGATGTAATTTATATGGGGGTGTGTGAAAGGTGCATATTTTTGTCAGACTGCCTTACTGAATGAGATGGGTCAACAGGAAACTTTAAGTATCTTCAGCAGCTTTTAAAGGGTGCAACTCAAATATAAATGCTTTCGTATTAGAAACAAATCCAACTCAAACAACTGCTGGAAATCATGCAACCACTTCCTAAATAAATCCATACACATCCAGCTACACTGGCAACATGTAGGCAAATTTTAGGCAGTTATTAAAATTCTTTCCATCAAAATACCCCGTTTAAATATTCATTATTACCTTGAAATTTTTATATTTAAGCCTACAATGACATACCAACATACACATTTAAAAATACCACGAGAGGACTCCTATCAGACTTCTAACAGCCTCCTACTAACCTTAGGTGGTTTAAAAGGATAGTCCGGTGAAAATGTTATGTCAAGGAAGAAAACTCCGCCTTCATATACAGACCCTGGAGGCCCCAGTATAGTTGACCTCCATTCATAAATGTTGTCTCCTTTGGGTCCAGCACTACAACAGAAAATAAAAATATAACATAATAACTACATACAATCAAGAATATACTGCATCAGTTATAGTCTACTAGTAGTACTGCTGATTTTGCAATAACACAACAAGTAAAAAATTGTGTATCACATTAATTTAGTCCTGGATAAAACATGTAAATGGTGTCCTAAGCTCTGTCAGTGAAGTGATACGTTCAGCCAGGAAGAAGTATTAAACTCACATTATAAATTATTCAAATAAGCATAGAAAAATTCCTGACCATCTTATCTCAAATATTTTAGTGGGCATATGTGAAGTATTTACAGTGCAAGGATATAGAGACTTTGCTGAGGTGTCTTGACACTCTCTTGCCTCACAAGCCATCCTATTTTCACCTACCTCCTCATCCACCTACCTCATCAGCCAGTAGCAGTGTAATTACACATATTATTATGCATCACAGACTGCACTAAAGACTGAGCAGGGTACAAAGGACCTTGCTGCACTAAGTCACTAACCTAAGCTCTCCAGTCACTAGTACAGAAGGCTGCCTTACTCTGCAATCGCCACCCTGTCTTTAAAAATATTATAACCAGCAAATGGGTTAAACTGTTAGGTGATGCTAATTCAAAGTCCTCGTTTAAAAACACAGTACGGAAACAATATTTAAAATGTACAAAACATAATCCTCTATGGGAAATAAGAAAAATCTCTCACTCATATGGTCAATTCCTGACCCAATCAAATTAAAAACTAATACAAGTTATTGAACGACTCTTCCAAAAGCCAACACAGCCTCCTTTCACACAACATAATCCTGTCCATAGAAACACATATTTTACTCGGGGTGGCCTCTTAAGGAATATGAAGACTTCTTTTTGGTTCACGGTGTGCTGATACTAGTTACTGATACAGGACCCGAATTTTAATTAGGATCATTTAGGATGGTGACTTCTAGATACCTGATTAATATTTTTCAGAGCAAGGCAGTGCTGGTAGATATTTCAAATAAGTGATGTGGTATTGTCTTAAGGCATTTCTTGTGAAACAATTCTTGTTATGTTTGCAATAAAGATTTCCACAGCATGCAGGGGTTTCTGAAATAACCCTGTGTGTAGAACAGATGAAAGCTCTTGGCTATGCTCCATGCCTCACAATGTACCCAAGGCATACAATTATTATACGACATCGTGTCATGTTCACTGCTCAACTATTCATTTTGTTCACTGAAAGTTAATAAAACCCTCTTTCACCTGAAATTCCTTGGACTCCCTTCATTAAAACTTCTGACTGCATGATTCCTTGCGTACAACTGTGTGGCTTAGTACTGTGCAGTGTACTTCATTAGTCATGGCACCTCCATCAATTTTCTATAATAACTCTTAATGCTTCTTGGCTTTCTAAACTACGTGCTTTCTTAACAAAAATGGGTTACAGAGACTAGAATATTATGGAATGTTCATTTTCTATCAGCCACAGTAAAAAACTAGCAATTGTTTTGAAGATAAAACCTGGCTTTTTAAGTGTCACAATAGCAGAAGCGTTCTCATCCATATTTCACAGTGTCTATAATACATCAGGTTGCTAGCTGCCAAACAAATTTAATTTACCCAGTTCTCACTTTGCATTAACCTTTGAATAATAAAGCACAGCTGAGACTGCTGTAAGAAACAAACCAGAGAATGAATAATTAAAAACATCTCTACTGCCTTTAGAAAGACCAATCCTGAGTCAACACGGAAGGTTTAATTGTGACTGAACTAGACATTAAGGGGCTAATTGAATTCTTTATAAGCCCAAACGAACGTGTTCCTACATCAGTGCTATGGTATATACAAGGTTCACAGAAAGTAAAACTCCTAAAAAATAAAATCAGGCAATCAGTTCAAATAGAAGAGGCGAGAAGCAGGGGCAGTCTAAATCTTACATGAAAAGAAGCTCATAATACGTGAAGGAAAACCTTTCCCATTTTCTGAAGAAAAATGTTCTAACACTTGCAGAAGCAATGACTCAGCTGATGCCAGCAGGTTAAGATGGAAGTGATATAAATGTTGGTCCCAGAGAAATGGTTGGAAACAGCGAGTGACAAAAGCGGACACTGTCTTTTTTAGACCTTGTTTATTCAGGAAGGGATGATTTGGCTCTTCTTGGGTTTGAGCAAGCCTCACATTTTTGATCAGAACTCTCTCTGATAGTCACATTTTCATAAAATATATTATTTTTATTTGTTTTTCCTATTTATTTAATTTCATTAACATTTGAAATGAGCAATCATTAATTAGAATAGTTGGAAAATGCTCCATCTGCCAGATGAACTGTTTCGGCACGTCCAGCTACAAGCCCAGCCTGATCATATTCTGAGGATGCTGATTAACATTAATTGAAGGTTTTCTTTGCAAATGAGAGATGAAGCTTTATTAAGTATTGTTATTAATTTGAAGAATAGCTTGAATTGTATGGAGTGTGGGAACACTGCTGTTTTCGATGCTTGTGTGTTAAGAGTCTTTGCTGGCAGCAAGGCAGCACAGACAACAGCTGGTATTAAAAGCAACAGCATGCACAAGCATAAAGTTTTTTCACTTGCACATTAATAATATAAAAAGTTTGACAGGTATGTTATCTTTGTTTTCCTCCTTTCCTAATTGTTTAGCCTTTTATTTAGCTACATTATTGGCAACCAGAACGACAACTCATCAGTCTTCACCAGAGAAAATTCCCATATGTGCAAGACCTCAGCCAAAGCCTTATTCTATAAGGTTTATAATGCAAGAGGATTTAATTGCCCTTCTCTCTACATGGCTATCTGCCCAGCACACTGAAGCCCAAATGTTTTACATTCAGTATGATTTATATTCCAGCTCTATTAATGTTACTGGCAACCAAACCACAGATCTCAAAGAAAGTAAACCAAACATCTCAAGTGCCTGAAATTCTGTTATCTTTGAAGGGACAAATTCAGACATGCACCCGCTCAGGAAAGGGCAGACTAAATCTGTCCTGAACTCAACTGACCCCAGGCCAGAGCCTACACATGCTGCCTGCTACTAAATCAGTCGGCTTCAGGGGAGAAATAATGATGGCTGTGGCAGCTCCAGGTGGAAGTGGCTGAATGATAAGAATAAGGTGGTTAGGAGAAGGACAGGTTTGCTGCCAGATCAGCCTCCCTCTTTGAGCCCTGACACTGAAATCCTAGTGAACTTGCAGGATGATGCTGTCAAGGAGTCCAGTGAGAACAATGTGGTGTGACTTTGGAGCTAGTACTTCTCGTATTTCCAGCATTGGAATTTGTAACCAAGGAGGTGCAGCTGAGCATAAAGGCCCTGGAGTAACCAATGGCTTGTCAAGAGCTACCTCTCAGCTGTCATTATCCTCCTGATGAGGCACTGCAGAGAATATTGACCAGTTTACCTGCTGGGGACGTTTTGCTCACTGGAAGACTTGGGGTGGGTGGACATAGAGTCAGCCTTTTTCCTCTTCCAGAAAGATATCAATATGGGTGTATGAAATTCAGGACAAAGGAGTTAAAAGATATAAAATAGTCTCCTTTGTATTTCCCTCTCCTTACATATTCTACTTCTGCCACTGCATCCCATATATATACGTGTAGGTGAAATATGTGCACTTCAGTTACAGTTAGTAGCAAAGTACTTTAAATGCTTCTATAACTGAATTAATTTTGCTTTAAATATGCTTAATGCACTGAGTATTTTCTATTCCCTCAACATGTTTTAGGCAGGCAGTTACTTGAAAGTAGTGCTGCTAAAAACTGCTTGTCCAGTACAA